AAAGGTGTGGCTTACGATGTCCTAAATTTACATTCATTGATGGTATCGCATGAACTCTATAGTACAACATTCCTCGCCCCCAGATCATAATCGCCACCAAGTGCAATGGCCTCGTCGCCAACGATCCTTCCATCCAAGGATTCCTCATGCCTCATTTCAAAAAGCTGCCCGAGTACGTTAACCAATCTGGCCTGTCTCGTGCTGCAATCTTCAATGCTGTCGACGCGTCCCTTGCTCGTCTCGAGACCCCATACATCGATCTCTTGCAGATCCACCGCTTCGACCCTTCAGTCACCCCTGAGGAGACCATGAAAGCACTTCACGACCTCGTGCAGAGCGGTAAAGTCCGTTATATCGGTGCTAGCTCCATGCGCTGCTGGCAGTTTGCTATGTTGAATGATGTGGCCGTTCGCAATGGTTGGACAACGTTCGTCAGCATGCAGGATGAGTACTCGCTACTCTACCGCGAGGAGGTGTGTTCCTGAAAATCACGACATTTGCTCGCCAGTTTGACATTACGTTTAGGAACGAGAAATGCTCGCTTATTGCAAACACAACGGTATCGGTGTCATACCCTGGGCTCCTCTAGCTTCTGGTGTGCTCGCCCGTCCCGTTGGCACAGAGACGACGCGTCTCAATTCTACCAAGGGAACTATTTGGGAGAAAAAGTTGAGCAGTGCAGACGCGACTATCGTCAACCGCGTCGAAGAGCTTGCCAAGAAGAAGAATTGCAAGATGAGCCAGATTGCGCTGGCCTGGGTTGCATCAAAGGTGTCGAGTCCCATCGTAGGTATCAGCTCTGTACAGAGGTTGCAGGAGAGTATCATTGAGGAAATTGAGCTCACCCCGGAGGAAATAAAATACCTGGAGGAGCCGGTGCGTATTCTGCTTGCTTGTTGATTCGAGATGAGACTGACGACACCTTTATAGGTATGAGCCCAAGGCCATCCGTGGCCACCTTTAGGTGATCGTGGCCAACCTAGATGTCAGCCAAACTTTGTAGCACTGTATTACCACCATCACCGCAATGCATTGAGTGGAGAATGAGGTCCGAAGTGATTCCGGTCCTAGAACAAAATGTAAGCAAAGCGAAAGATATCATGTAGTTACTACGCACCCCATCATTTTCTGGCCCACTCACTTCCTCTAAACCTGCCTGCGCGCTGTCAACATCTTGCCTATGACGGTCGATACTTCCTCCCTTGTATGTTATAGATAGATTGTAGAAAAGTCCGGTTCCAGTTGATGGGTCTTAGCACATTGCAATCATGCAGAAAAGACAGTCGAATCAAGACTCGCATCATCGAGTCGAATTACAGCAGGGATATCAGAAAAGATCCGAGGACTTTATAAGGAGATATAAGTAATCGAAGAAGGCACATGTGGACACAACTAAGATGTGAGAGAATAAACACTCTGCCGATGGTGGCCGGTTTGGAGTCTGGTAAATTCGCGGGCCATTAATATGCAGTGTCTGATGTAAGTTTGAAATTTTTTGTGGGGTTTCTAATTCTAAAAGACTGATGTGACAACGACTATACTATATATGTGTTAACACACGGGCGGTTTGGGAGTTTTTCACTATGTGAGATTGGTTTCAAAATGTCAGTGATAAAGTTGGCGTTTTGACTATACATTTTGACCGAATAAAAATAAAAAATTTGGATGTGTGCCAAAATCCCAGGTGAAATTCTACATTTTATGTACCATTTTGAGCGCCATAAAGTACAAAGTTTTGAGCGCAGGAAAGTTTTCCTCAGAATTTCATGTAACTAGGTACATTTTCCGATTGCAGCATAATCAAATTTTTTGCAAGTTAAAATGGGGAACGTAAAATGTGAACTTTTAACACGAGAAAAATGACGTGGGCACTCATCGGGCACTCATCGGGCATTCATCGGGCACTCGTTGGGTATTCATGTTGGGTATATTGTAGAGTATATTGTAGAGTACATTGAGTCTGCAAGAGTATGATATAAGTGTCTATCGGAATCTACTTTCCTCCACAAGGCATATCTGATCGAATCGCAAAGTGAAGCTAATCCTAGCAGTAATCGCAATCTCAACAGTATTCTTTTTCATGTTGCACTTCGCGACAGTCATGATCTCACCACGAGTGTCGCCATCCAGGACGAGACACTTTTGGTTTTTTTTTGCGCGGTGGAGCTGGACTAAGATCACTGACGGGGATGTGATAGTGCTGAAGCGCGGCTCCGGCACCGTTAGATGTACAAAATACCGCGACGCAGCCATCAGGTGCGGGTCCATTCTCACCGCAGAACGGGTCAGGACAGGCCGTAGATACGAAGCGATTATGCAGTCTGCCTCCCATGAAACTTGGTGATACTTTAAGCACCACGTGATGACGAGTCAACTTCAACGCAAACTCCTTGTTCATCAACCAAGGTAACGGGCCTGTAATGAAATAAGTCAAATGTTGACAAGTCTACGTTAGAGACTCACTGCCGTTTCGGGACTTCTCCTTTATATCTGCGATGGCGTCCTCGATGTCCTCTGCATTAGTAGCAACCCAGGGGTCGTATGTCTTGACACCAAGGCCATCCGCCGAATCATGGTTGTTATGGCTGGACCAGTTGGACCACTCGCTGGAGCTGGGATCCATACTAGAACTGGATGGGACTACGGGATCAGGTGGAGGGGTCTTGCTTCGACATGGCGGCATGATGTACGATTTTTTCTGCATCTCGCAGAAGGAGATCATGTCCGGACCTTCGAGTATTGCACCGTTTAACCTCATTCCGTATCTTAAATAGTCGTTAATAAAAATCAATACAACAATACAAAATGTGATCACCTAGTAGCAACGTCCTCGCGTTTAACCGTAGTGCGCGCTTGCCCATGCACAGAAACGAGCAGGAATCATGAGCGAGTTGGTATAGCGTGGCTCGGTAGCCCTTCCGTGCACCTCCGATGATAAAGACTTCTTTACCGATGATGTCGCGAAATGAATCCGGGTTCACGTTGGATAATTTCATGGCAAATCCAATAGGAACGTTAACCTGTCATATCTTAGAGACGCACAATTTGAGAAGAGTAGTACTTACGAGTGAGTAATCGCCCTCAGAAATCAGGGTCAGGCGCGCATTTGCGAAGTCCACGGCTTGCACCACCCCTTTTGTCTGGAACTCTGGCCCACGGGCGACAATCACGACGTCTCCGGGCTTAACATCATAACCCCTTTCCTTGGTAAATTGGAGAGTCTTGAAGGGACGAATGCGCTGTACAAATGCTGTGGGGGCGTTGATCAACTCATCCTCGATATTGCCCTCAGCTCGGAACCACAGCGTAGTCCCCCCAATAGGAAACCACACCACATTCCCGCATTTCCCCATGTACTCTCCCGCACATACTTCTATCTCGTCCCCGATTTGAAGAGATTCGGGCTCGGGGAGAGGGTCGAAATCTGGCTGCATTGGCAGCCGGGATTGAAGAACGTGAGTTAGAGGACGACGATCTAGATAGTACTTCGATACTTCCACCTATGTGATGTCAGACAGGCTTACAGGATGTTATATTTAATCATACCTCTTCATTGGTGGCTTCTTGACATACGTGAAACAAGTCCTCAGACTTCTTAATGATGTGCCCTTCCAGACCTGCGTAAGCGCCCGCTACGACTCGAACCGTGTCGCCAACCCAAAAGACACGCTCAATGTCCTGGAGTCGAAATTCCAGTTCTTGCCCATGCCCATCGAGGATGAACTTTAAGCATGCGGAGCCAGACGCATGGTTTGTCGAAACGACCGTGCCAATTTCTTGACAGACTTCTCCTGTGATAGGCCTGGCCGAATCACCAACGCGCAAGAACTGCAGTGAGAAGGTCTTCAGAGTTTTCTTGAAGAAAGGTACATCCCACCCGGACTGGAGATGTAGTCGAATGTCGTTAGCATGAGGGGAGGCGACCAGCTCCAGACCGTCGCGGCGAAAGTTCTTCAGCAAAAGTCCCATGTAGTATCGTTCTCCTTTGTACGACCATCCCACGACTTTATCATCCTGAAGAATGTCAGACACTGTTTTGTCATTCGGCAGGCGAGCTCGGTCGAGCAGCGCCACAGATCTCTTAGGCATGTCGTAGGGGAAGTCGCGTGGGGGAATCAATACTGTGACGAAGTCGTTTAATTGTTTGGGGTCGAAGACATAGCCGATGTCGCCCTTGTATTTTCCCTGTGTGATCTTCACCCACCCGGGGTTGGGAAGTGTAGAGCGTGAACGTTCGACCGCTGCTCGTTCTTCCTCCGAGATGTGAGTATAATCTTTCACGGAGGAAGAGAGTAAATTAAGCGTTGTCGCAATCGTTCTAGGGCTATCTGAGACAGCATAGAGCTGGCCTGGTATCCAAGGCGATACGGTAACCGCTACTCCATTGCTCCTGAGATGTTCAGCGACACGTTGCGTGGCAGATCCTGGGATACATTCAGTGCGATGCTAGGTAATTAAAATAAGGACTCACTGTGAACATGGAGAAGGTACATCCTGCTTGGGACCGCGCCGGAGGACGAGACCGCTCTATGACTGGTGCTTGGGGCGTTTTCGTACCTGTCAAAGATGTGATCGATCGCTGCGGATAGCTTATCCTTGGCCGATGAAGGTCCTGGCAAGCGTGTAACGTTCAATGACCGCACAGAAGGGCCATCGTCACCCTCCACCTGCGAGTTTTCCCCCTCCTCCTCCTCCTCCTCCTCCTCCTCAACATCATCGTCATCGTCATCAGATGCCTCATCGTCGATAAAGGGATTTTTTGGCTACATGTATGGTTTAGTATATATGTCATTATAAAACGAATATATTTCTTACTCTTCGGACGCGTGCGCTTTTCAAGCGAACCGCTGCCTTCGGGGCAGCCGTAGATATTGCAGAATCTTTCCGCAGGGTAACGACTGTCGATGTACTGGAGGCGCCCTGGGGTATATGCCTGGCCTTCAAGGCGAGAAGATTTGCTAAGGCGAGGCAGTTATCATCGTCGCCGGAGAACAACGCGTCGCGAGCTTCTTTCCAATCATCTGCGTCGTATCGATTGCCCAAGTACGAGGCAAAAGCCGCCTCCATCTGAGGGTAGGTCATATCAGTAGTGAGGTACTGCTCCAGAATGCGCCATGCGCCGTGATCTGCCAGCGGTGATGGCGCTCTCGTCCCTGTTATCTGCATTAGAATAAACACAGACGACATGATGCAACAACTAACCTTCATGATTCCTGATGCGTTTCGAGGTAGGTTCGTCATCATGAGACTCAGATGCCGCTCGTTTGGACATCCTGTAGTTGATATCAATTAATTGAACATATAATCCTGTTGCAACAGGAACGCTTACAATGCAAGTGCTCAATTCTGTATTGTATCTATCCTATCCTACCAATCTATAGGCGTACTATCTATAGGCGTATTGAGTAGTGGGTCACGGAAAGAAGAGATGTTAACGCACAGGTGCCGTATTTATAGTGAACGACTTAATGTGGAAGCGCTTAGCAAATGCAGGACAATCGCGGAGACAACATTGTGGTCCTCCAATGTTTTGTGCTAAGACCTAGTAGAACAAAAGTCCTGCCTGGCCCACATATACTTTGTAACTAGTGTACACAACAGTAATTATAAAGTAGCGCTTAATATAAGAAATTAAATCCCTATTCTATACTATCGCTTGCGTGTACCTAGAGTTCGGAAAGGGAATTTTGATTAAAGGACGCCCTTGATATACAGAACGACTATGAGTTCAAACCCAGCCGCCGCAGCCGGCCGTGGGCGCTGAGTATGGACTTGACTACGAATTCAAACCCAGTCGGCCGCAGCCAGCCGTGGGCGCTGAGTATGATTTTGGGCTGAGATTGAATCTCATAGTCGTTCTGTATATTAACCCGCGTCTGTCATAAGCTTTCTTTTCTTTTCGACTTCATCCTTCCATACTGTAGTAGTGTAGTCGAAGGTAACTTTGAATTAGACCTTAGCACTACACTTTGCGCGCCGTAGTCAATTTAGAATAAAACACTCGACATAAAGTGCGCTTTTTGACTTCGACTTGAGCGCAGTAATAGAAACCAAATGTCAATATTAATGCTGTTAATGATAGGGGCTAAGCCTGGACAGATGGTGCCTACAAATTGTCTTATTGACGTGTAGTGCCCGATTATCGATCTGAATCGAATACACTGTGCGTAGATTTATTCACCATATCAGAATCTATCTAACTTCCGAGAAGAATCACAGCGTGCACGTCCTTAGAATCATCACGCAACTTTTCACATCCCAATATGATGGACTTGACGGGTTCGTCATGATTCCCATTATCCACCGGGCTTTGTGCCCTCTCAAGGACTCCGCCCCTCCGATCCTCGATATATTTCTCTAGTAAGAGACGAACGTCATCTGGCAGGTCCTGCAGGTCGATCCCCGAACTTTGAATATTCTTGCCAGACATTTCCCAGCGACGCCAACGATAATGTTTTGTATTGCCCGAGGACCTGCAGCTTAGTGGGTCAGCTTGTCTTGTCTCTGACGATAGTACTCACACAGGCTATCATCCCCATTGCGATAACTAGCTGGACTATTCCCCGTACGAAGCTCTTCAGCGCTGATAGAGGACGATTATCTGCTGACTTTGCAACACTGTCTTGTTTGCGACACCAGATGGAGATGGTTGGTTCCGCGTCGTTTACAGACGTTGCTCCGAAGATCAGGCTGCGGTGTATGCCGTCGTATGTCTTACATTTGTCTGTCAGATTAAAATTCTAATTTCATGTAAATAGCGCACCGTCACAGTTTGTACTCGGCCTGTATCGGCATGTTGCAAGACCTGTTTCAGTGTCCCTTCATTTTTATCAAAAACATAGATAACTCCTGTGTCACTACCCCCAACCACGAGGGTAGCCTTCCCCCCAAAAACAACCTGCTTCGGAAATGTCTTGACTGGGTTGGTATTATAGGTGCGGATACACACTGCATCATCCAGGCGATGTAAGCTAAATCCATTCATAACATTGTCCATCAGGAACAGCGTTTGGCCTGCATCTACAGAAGCATGCCCGCTGTAGTGACATGGTAAGTGATTATCAACGATTGATGTCAATATCACTTACATTAACGGCCCGGCGTTGTTTGTAGCGATGACGGCGCCATCCGTGCCCCTAAGTGTATGTCTAGAATGGCCCACAGGATATTAGATGCAGAGTAATCAGGTAGGTGTGAACATTTACATCTCGCCATCGTACATCCCGAAGACTAATATGTTTCTACTTGCAGTACGGTTGAAATTTATGGTGCGCGGAATGGTAGTAGCAAGCTCGACGCTGAAAATCGGTATTAACGGTCCCTTAAAGTCAAACGCCCAAACTTGAATGCGTCTGTCGCGCGTCCCACTCGCAATTCGAGTGTCGTTGCCAGTATGATCGCATGTAAGACACATGATCTCCTTACCCGTTCCAACCCTCCTTGATATTTTTGCATCGAAGTCTTGCAAACCTTCCCCCTGCTGCTGCCAGATCCCTATGAAACCGAGTCCCGTGCCATAACATAATGTCTCCCGCGTTGCCTCATGGCGGGTAATCCAACACGCGCAAGTTACTGGATCCGCTGGGTTTCGAATGGCTGGGGTTTGAGGTGGGATTGGGAGCTGAGCTCGCCTTTTAAGATCCCAAATCCTCATTCCGTCAGATCCTGGTACGCATTAAGTTACTTCCTATTTCATCGTGCATATTGAACTCACCCCCACTTGCTAACATGCAGCCATTGTGAGAGACCGCTAAGCAATTGATGGCGTTCTTATGCCCGACAAGGCGCCCTTCGAGGCGATAATCGTTGGAATGACTGGTGGGGAGTAAAAACATTGGAGGCATTAAAGTGGGTTCATCCATCGTTATCTTGAAGGACTTATATTGACTGACCGACACAATAAGGTCCATAACAAACTGGACGACAATCAATAACGACATCCTGCCTAACAACGTTATCCTGGTAGGCATCCGATCAACACCCGAGCTAAACACCCATATAAAAACGTCTTCTTGGCTCCGTTGGGTATCAGGTCAGTCATGCATTCACCCTCCGTGCCTGTCGCTCCTTTTTATGAGCCTGAAGGTCCTCCCGAAGCCCTCCCATTATTGACGTATCACACAGAGATGTTTTGTCCAACTACAACGTCCATCTCGATATCTTGGCAAGAAGAAATGGTTTTCTTCCCTCGTAGTCTCACGAGGCGAACTGCCACTCCTTCGCGCTTGTTCACTACCCCGTCTCGTGCAGTGACACCCATATTTTCTCGCCCGCCTACCCCCAAAGTCGCCAAGGCTGTTTCATTTTCTGCAGAGCAGATCAGTCAGGCGTCAATTGGTTCTTCTTTGTCATCCATAGCTTCCCATGAGTCAAAAATTCCCAAACCAGACGGTGAGGCTGGACGTCCTAGCCGTGGTGGATACAACTTGGAAATAGCACTCAAGTGGGATTCCGGCCGCTTCAAGGCGTTCAAGGTGAGCTGGCACTTGAGTAATTAGATCCCCTTGAAACTAATGACATTAGGAGTGCGTTCACGCTTCGATCCAGAAACACTGCGACACTAGCAAGAGCAAGACATCTCAAACACCTGCCGCAATAGTTGCAGTCCAGACAGAGGTACATCTAGAATTTCTATTTCCGTTTGATGCTAACTTCGTTTGAGGTCCTATCTCACTTTACAGAACTCAATGATTATGATGGCTGTTGGCCAATTGGAGATATAATTCAGATGCAGCTGAAAAACACCGCTGCGAAGCAGCGACAAAAGAATACAGTACACAAATAACCTACGAAAGCATAATGTAGCTTTTTTTGGCGATAATCGAAGAACAATTTGAAACGACTGATACCTAATACCTAATACTCACGCGCTACGAGTGTAATATGACTCAGGCGTGTTATGATTGCTTGTACATCATTAAATAGAGTTTAACAACGTTGTTGTCGCATTCGGTCACCGCAACGCGGCCGCTGACATTAGGTGAGCTCTCTCCAGATAAAATTCGCGCTACTGAATGATTTGAATTGCAAGATGTCCCGCCTAACGTCTTATTTCTTTTCGGATGGTGCAGACGATGATCCCATCACCCCAGTTGTAGAGTCTTACCCTCTTAACGAGCGTCGTCCAGCAGCGGCCATGCATACGTATCCCCCCCAGCCTGTTATCTCCGCCAGTTTAGATCCTCGTACATCAGCAACACCATCATCGCCCGCTATATCACTTGGCGACGAGTTCGGGATGGATTTATTCGACAACCCCTGGGGAACTGCTCGTAGGAAGAGGGATGACGATGACCAGCCGGTGGGTCATCGAGTACTTTTTTGCTTTTCTGAGCTAACAAATATTCAGCCAAATAAAATATTCCTCAAAGAAGTCGATCAGTCGTCCAGACTGCGGGATGATGTGCGCGAGTTACACTTCTCCAAGCACGATCTTTTGCTCCGCAAGCGGCAAATACAGGTATACTCATTGAATATCTCCTGTGTTCATACTTGACTAACTTTCAGGCCAATGCCAACTCACAAGAATCGAATTTGCGATCCGTCATCGCGCAGTATCAAGAACGTCAGGGATTCCTTGAGCGTGGCAAAGCCGATGCCCTCACATCATTGAATGAGAATCATCATAATGAACTCGCCATCTTCCAGGTAGGGTTCTGTCCCCATGATGTTGTCGATATCCTGACTTTGTGCGCCAGAATCGAATGGCGTTGGGTATACGTGAAGCAGAACAGGAGGCGCGCACAGAACGAGATATCTCATTAGCTAAACAAGACGCTTTCTTTCAATATGAAGGTAACGTGGCTAAAAAGAAATTGTTGGCCGAGAAAGAAGCCGAGTTAGCCCGCCTCGCTGCCGGGTATAGCAGCAAGATAGCTTCATTGGATGTGCGTACCGACATGTTCGTATGTGGAGCTTTCCTGACATATTTACAGAGCCAGATGCGACAAGCAAACATCGCAAGTTCCTCTCCCTCCCTCCCTTCATGGCGCCATGTTGTAGGCAAAAGACCTGTTGCCACATGCACGAATATTGTTGGGTTTTCGATAGTAAGCTCATGTCTCTATCGCACACGTATATTTATTATCTAACATCACCCATGCCTCAGATTCCTGACGCAAGTTCAGATTCTGATAGAGACGAGGGTCCTCAGACTAGTGCGCCTCCCCTGACTTCGCTATTAAGTGATGTCCCGATCCAGAATGCCACCGTTGGCATGCTTGTTGAGGCGCTGGCAAAGGTTCTACTGCAGACAGCGCCCCCGAGGGCAGCTCGATCCAAACTCAAAACCCATGAGACCCCTATCGAGAATTTTACTGATGCTCAGCGCCGAAATAATAAGGTACGTTTTTCCCAACACAGCTGACATTGCTAATGAAAAGCCAGGCCAATGTTCGGGAATTATTTTACACGGCATTCCATTTCGCGAAAGATGACGAGTATATGCTTCATGTCACTGCGTCGAGCGAAGCCATATCGTGCTTTACGCAAGGACTGGGCACGGGCCCTGACCCTCTCGAACTGCACTGGGATATGACGACCACGCACAACTCCAAGTGGAACCAAAGAGTAATCGATATTCTGTGTTCTCAGTATACTTGCACGTTTGAGACGAACCAATTGGCCACAAGATCTCCTCAGTCCATCAAAAACGATATTACAAAGAAATTCAATCAATGCCGCAGTTCCTGGAGAAGAGCCCAGCCTCGTGTGCTTGACGATGGCACTCGTGAGACTATGAAAGATGTAGGAGACCGACTCGTGGATCAGACCAACGAGCGATTGCGGGTCACAAGGGTCCTCACTCGCAGGGCGACAGTTAGTCATCTTTCTGATTGGCTTGAAGAATGCTAAGTTGCTTTCTAGAAGTTCGAAACTCGTAAGAAAGTCACGTCGGCCCTGCTAAGTGACAGGATAGCGACCGGAAAGGATGACCAGGCTGTATGGGCGTATCTACAATCCCTTGTGGAGACTCTGGGCAAAGATGGCATGAGCTCTGACGAGAGTGAGCACGAAGATGGCGAAGTTCAGGTGTTTCGTCTGAAGAAGATGCCGTGGAGAGCAGACGTCGATCATGAGATGCATATCATTGATCAACAGCGGTTGGCGGGTGCTTCAAACTTCACTCCCCGCGGAAGCAAACCCGCAAAGCGTTTTCGCAACGCGATCCAAGAGTCTTCTCGCCCAGCAATCGAAGGCTTACCGAGGGCGTTATACAATTCATCGTGGTTGAATGCCCAATCTCCTTCGTTCACAGTATCTGACAAGAAGCTTCAGAGAATGGAAATTATCCTTTCCCGCTAGTGATCATATAGCCGCCGTTTGTACGTGTACTGATAGCGTGTATAGTGCCCCCTTGTATGTGCCGCCTTGTACCCCCTTGTACCTATGTAGTTCCACCCAACTCGTGTAGTTTCAATTGTACCTTCTAATATGACGCTCACATGGGCAACTCGATCCGGCAAGTTTACGACGAGCGGGCGCTGATTCGACGGAGCGGGCGCTGATTCGACGAGGGCGCTGATGCGATCAGCGGAGTTTTATTTTGCAGTCGTTCACTATATCAGGCGCGTCCTTTCATCTCCTGCACTTTCTTTCTGATTTGAATGTTAATATAGATGTTATGTACGTATTGGTCGCAAAAATCTAATACGTTGTCTCACTCTGTTGGATATCCTCCCGGCATTCCAGCAAGGCTGCCTACTGTGTAGTGCGTTAGACCATTGTCACACTGTGCGTCGGTTCATGGACGCACCTCGCCCACCAATCAACAAACGTGGTTTTGCGCTTGGAATCGTGCCGAGGGAAAACGATCCGCGCTTCATGCTGTTCCAAATGTACTGTCCTACAGGTATGATGAAGTTGTCGTTGGTTTGAAGCTTGTAATGAACATTATCAATATAGATTGCTGTGACACGAATTCATCACCATACGTTTCTGTTGTCGTTTGTTCTGGGATTCTTGGGGTTCTCTGCACCCTTGGAGTAATGCTTCGACATGATGTCATCCACTTCCATACCTAACAATGCACCATCGAGTGCCGCATAGATGCGCTCGCGTAATAGGTCAGTTGTTGGATGCCCCCCTTCACAATGACGGCGGAGATACTTGTTTATCGCCTTCTTTAGGCCGCAAACAAGTTCTCTTTTCTTCAAAGAAAGGTGCCCTACATCCTGACTGCTGCTGGCGTCACTGGCAATGTTGGCCATCAAGATCTGCGCCTGAAATTTCTTGAACACGGTGAGTCCGCGAGCCTGTCTGTAAGACTATGTTGCTAACCTCATCGCCCGCTACATCAGGGCTTTGAATTAAAACATCTTGCGCACTTCCCAATGGCCCGCCGGGTGATTTGGGTTCGTCAATGGACATGGCGGATCCCATCCACATGAGCTGGTTTAGCTGG